ATATAAGTTTACCTGTTGGTAACTGGCTCCATTAATAAAATAAAAAAGAATAGGTTAAAATTGTTTTTTTTTTAAGAAAAATTTAGGTCTAAAATGAAAAAAATACAAAAAGCATGGTCTTTTATGAAAAAAAAAATTCAATTTACCTATTGGTGACCTGCTGGGGTCTGAAATAATAAGTGAACTGAAATAACAAGTGAAACCTAAAAATTAGGCATTTTTTTTGAAAAAATAAAAGTTTTAGATTTTAAAAAAAATCAAAATATAAAGTCTTTTATAAAAATAACCCTTTAAACAATTCACAAAGGCATTTCACATCAAGTTTAATAGTATCTTTTAAGATTGCACCTAATACATAAGATATAAAATGTCACATTTTAATTTTCCATTTTAAATCCGAATCGATACATAAGGTATAACACCTCAACATGTTTTACAGCCTTTTTTAATACAACTTATTAAATATTATATGTTTTCTAAGTAAAAGTATTTCAAAATGTTATAAAATATTAAAAAAAAAATACTTGTATACAAACTATAAAAAAATAAAAATAAAAATAGTGGTATGAAAATAGTGGTATGAAAATATAAATTTTAATAAAATATAAAACAAATTTAAAACATTATAAATACATTTGTATGAAAAATATTTGTACGAAAATATAAAAAAATAAAAAAAAAATATGTATTGTAAACAAGTTTAAAACTTTGTAATGAAAAAATTGTCAAAAAGTATTTATAAAAAGACTTAAAATGATTTAAAAAAAAAGTTATAAAACACTGTAAAAATAGATTTATAAAAAAAAACAAAAAACAAAAATAAAACAAAAATAAAAAAACCAAAAAGAAAAAACAAAATTTAATGTAAAATTTTAAACTAAAAGGTTTGGAGCTTAACAAAATTTAAAATTTAAATCAAATTTATAATAAAATTTAAAACTTATATCAAAATGTACAATTGAAATGTGATCTATTATTTCTGATATAACATGTATAACAGGTGTCATATTACGTGAGCCTTTTATAATATTATTTTAGTTGTTCGCAATCGAAGATAATTTCAATATTTCATAGTATCTTTCTCAAAAACAATTTATATGAATTTCAAAATACCTTTTCACTTAAAAAGTTATGTTCCACCGATCTAAGTAGTTTTTTCTAATTTTTAATAAGATGATCTTAAGGCGCTCGACTCTCTTAATTGGAGTTTTTTGGACTCGATTCTTGATCAAATAAACTTTGGGGTCAAATGGAGAAATTGGATGAAAGGATGTCTCTCTTCCGGGAAAGCTTCCATTTTGGTAAATGGTTCTCCTACGAATGAATTTACTATTAGGAGAGGTGTGAGACAAGGAGATCCTCTATCTCCTTTTCTTTTTATTATTGCCATGGAGGGTCTTAGCATCTCAATGAAGGAAGCTTGTGATCGGTTCATCTTTAAAGGTATTTTTTTACCTCATAATGGCCTTACTTTATCTCACCTTATGTATATGGATGATGTTATGTTTGTGGGAGAATGGTCCGAAGTTAATTTTATCAATTTGAATAGAATTCTTCGATGTTTTTTCATGGCTTCGGGGTTGAAAGTGAATCTTCATAAAAGTAGAGTTTTTGGTATTGGAGTGGACGATCTTGATGTTACTCGTTTTGCGAATATTCTTCATTGTGAGCCAGCTTCTTTTCCTTTTACTTACATTGGGCTTCCTATTGGCGCCAACATGAAACTTGCTAAGAATTAGAATATCATTGTGGATAATTCAAATCAAAGCTATCTTCATGGAAGGCTAGAAATCTTTCTTTTGGAGGAAGACTCACTCTTATTAAGTCTGTTTTGGGGAGTCTTCCGCTCTTCTATTTTTCTCTTTTCAAAGCTCCATCAAAGGTGATTGAGTTATTAGAAAGATTAAGAAGGCGGTTTCTTTGGGGCGTGTACGATAACACTAGAAAGATACATTGGGTCGCTTGGAAGAAGGTCACGCAACCTAAAAAGTTAGGTGGTCTTGGTGTTGGTGATCTTCGTTCTATGAATATTGCGCTTCTTGCCAAGTGGTGGTGGAGGTTAAAAACTGAAAGTAACTCTCTTTAGACATCTTGCATCAAAGCCTTGCATAATACCTCTTGTATTGATGGGAAACCGTTTGCTAAGAATGGTATTCCAGGTACTTGGCGAAATATTTTCCAAATCGCTTGGGAGCTTAAGGATTGGGATATCTCCCTTGAGGAGCTTTTTTGTAGAAATATGGGGATTGGTGATCAAACTCATTTTTGGAAGGATAAATGGTGCAGTGATTTGGCTTTAAAAGATACTTTTCCGGGCTTATATAAGATTGAAGCTAATAAGAATTGCATGGTCTCAGAGAGGGTTATGATTGATGAGAAGGCTGTGTTTATTGGTGATTGGAAAAGGCCACCAAGAAGGGGCATTGAATCTGAGGAGTTGGTGAGAGTGAGAGATGTTGTTGCGGGTTCCCGCTTCTGTAATCGTCCGGACTCGTGGTTGTGGAAAGGTGATTTGACAAGAAGTTTTTCGGTCCATTCATTGAGGAACCTGATGGCACAAAAGTTGTATGATGGTGGTACTTTGCAGAGCTTCTTTTGGATAAATTGGATTCCCATCAAAATTAATTGTTTTGTTTGAAGGATGCTTTTGAACAGGATTCCGGTAGCTTGTAATTTGGTCGAAAAGGGGATTGTGCTTAACTCCACTGTTTGCACGATGTACGGAAATGTTGAGGAGTACGTCGACCACGTGTTTTTCTCATGCTCTTTTTCTTCTTTGATTTGGAATTGGTTTTCTTCTTGGTGTGGTGTGATGCCGCTGATTCCGAGTTGCATGGAAGATTTCTTGTTGTGCTTAAAAGCTCCGTTTATTGGTAAAAAGCGGAAGAAGCTATTTTTGGCCTTGTTATATACTGTGTTGTGGTTCATTTGGAAGGCGAGAAACTCGTTGGTGTTCAACAACCGGAGATGTTCCCCTTTTAGAACGGCAGATGATATCTAATTAATTGCTTTCAATTGGATCAAACATAGGTCTTTGTTTAAATTTATTTGTTGGTTTGATTGGTGCATGTCTCCTATTAATGCTTGTACTTTGTAATCTTTTGCTAGCTTCTTGTTAGTTTTTTAATGCATTTGTCGTTCAAAAAAAAATCTAATTAAAAGGTTTTGGCTAAACGGTATCTAATTTTTAATAAGGTGATCTAAATATTATAGACAAAATTGCAAAAATGGTCCCTGTGGTATGCAAATTTTTTGGGTTTTAGTCCAAACCACGACTTTTTTGGATTGGTGGTCCTTTTAGAGTGGTTTGTATGTGAAAATAGTCCCTCCGAAAATTGAAATGACTATAATACCCTTAGGGTATTTATTTTTCATTTTTCGTAAAATTTAATATTTATTTATTTATTTTAACAATTAAAAAAAATAGAGGACCCACCTCTCTCTCTCTCTCTCTCCCAACACCCAAGAACACCTTCATAATCTTAAGAACACATCTTCATAATCTCAAGAACACTCAAGAACATATTCATGAACTTAATAATATCTTCCACAACCACCACCCTTTGACCACCGTCCGCCACCACCACTACCCTTTGACCACCGTCTACTTCCACCACTGTCCGCCACAACCTTAGTCTGCCACTACCACCGTCTGCCACTTCCATATATGGTTGAAATCTAATTCTAACAACCAATCACGACATCCACCACCATTGTTGAAATGTAATCCTAACCTCAAATCAAAACCAAGAGCTTAAACTTAAAATCTAACCTGCAACTCAAATTCTTCAACACCTTCATCTTCTTCAAAAATCCAAACCCAACTCATCCATTACTCATTTTCTCTTCACATACGCATATACATACACCACACAATCGGAGATTTGGTTCCCAGTTTACAAACCCATAAATTTGCAGACCCGTCTCCATCTACGCACCAACCATCACTTCAATTACCCTCCTGTATCAACCTCCATTGTTTCTACAAACCTTACACCACCAGGCATCACCTCCTGCATCATCTTCTTTACATACCCACCTCCATTACCTTGTTCTTGATTCGTTTTTTAAGACTTGTTAATCGATTAAGAGTGTGGGAATAATAGAACGCAACACGTCACCAGGTTCTGCATCGATTGCAAAAAAGATGAGGGGATGAGCAGATCTATTTTTTCTCTCTGTATACACTTTGACAGAAAAAATCCTATGTTGTTAATCGATTGATAGCTAGGACCGGTTCTGGATTTTTTTGGGGTTTGGAAGGCTAGAAGTCAATTATTCAGAGATTCAAACAGAGGATGGGTAATGCGACTTTCAGATCACTTAGGGAATTTCACTATAGTTGTTTGATGGGTGAAGAAGAAGAAATTCATCACATGGCTCGTTTTTTCCTGATGCATACCATCTGCTTCTTCCCCAAGTTAAAATTACTCAGTTAATTAACTTCCTTCTTGGAGGAATTAATCAGCAACAAGTGGAACTTCAGTTCCTGGAACAGGAAGCTTGAAGATCGAATGATCGATCGTTCTTTTCTACTTTTCTTGGGGTTCTTAAATTTGGGGTTGGGGGTATTAGAAAGTCACAGGGACATTAACGTGTTTGTACAAATCTATGGTGCTTTCCTACGAGAGAGAGAGAGAGAGAGAGAGAGAGAGAGAGGCCCCAAATTAGGTAATTATTTTATTTTTCATTTAAATTAAATAGAAAAAGCATAAAAAATATATCAGAAGGGCATAATAGTCTTTTCAGTTTACTGAGGGACCAAAAACGCAAAGAAACTAGCTCAAAAGGACCACCAATCCAAAAAAGTTGTGGTTTGAACTAAAACCCTAAAAATTTGCATACCACAGGGACCATTTTTGCAATTTTGTCAATATTATAATCTAATTTAAAGTTTTTGGCTTAATGGTATGCCGATATGCTTAGTAGTTAAAAAATATATATATTTTTTTAAATTAAATTAAAAATATTTGAAAAGTAGAATTGTTGTGGCAGTGGACATGTAACCTCAAAAATGCCGTTTGTTATTGCACTTTGTCTCTTAACACGTTGCCGCCTCAACCATCGCTCCAAGACACACACAACTCAACTCCTCCCTTTCACCATCATCTTAGTTTAGTCCAACGCCAACAACAAAATCCACATCAACATATCATTAGATTCATTTTGTTCTTTGTTCTTTCTTCTTCAGTCACAACAACTCCTCCCTTTCGTTTGATTTTCATTATGATATCCTTGTCACCCTGAAACCCTAGTTTTTTCAGTCCCTCAAAATCAACAGTGAGAGGTTTTGGTTGCTAATCTGCTACTGAGTTATGATTCGATGTTGGGTTCCTTCAGATAGAGACAGATTGGATGAGCAAAAATGGAAATTCAAGTGCGATTTGCTAACCTTGTGAGCTTCTACTCAAGTAACTTCCTTTAGTACATTCGATTTGTTTCCATAGTTCTTGAATGAACAACAAGCTATTTGATTTATTGGAAAATTGAAGACTAAGATGAGGGCAAGAACCGAAAGAGATGAACTATCTAAAGATTTATCAGCGGGGGTAACGAAACCTTTATGCTTTCTTATAGTTTTTGTGATTGGGATAGTGATTGGTTTAGCTTCAAGTTCACATGTCGATAGATATTTCACTTCACAACCCTATAATCTTAATCGGGGTCGTGAATCTATACCCCCTAATTCTCCTTCTACTTCTAGCATCACACAAACTACTTATCATCAGAACTGTACAACTTCTACTGATATTGTGAGTAATTGTGTGAAAGACGAGTGTTTGAGTATGAAAAGCTTTCTATCGCAAAAGAATCTGAGCCATAGTATGACAGATGAGGAGCTTTTTTGGAGAGCTTCATTGGTGCCTGAGAAAGCACACTATCCGTTCGATAGAATGCCTAAGCTAGCTTTTATGTTCTTGACAAGAGGACCTCTTCCATTTATTCCATTGTGGGAGAGGTTTTTTAAGGGTCAAGATGTGAGAAAGTATTCGATTTATGTTCATACAAGTCCTGAGTTTGATCTTGGTGTTTCAAATTCTTCGGTGTTCTACAATCGGCAGATTCCTAGTCAGGTATAACTTTGTTGCTTCAATCTTGTTATAATGTGTAGTGATAAGTAATCAGTTATATTGTTATAATGTTGGGATATGAAAAAAATAAAAAAAAAGTAATAAGTAAAATGTTATAATTGGATAGAATTTTCAAAGGACAATGCCTTAATAACAAAAAAATCGGAAGTAAATTGATGTTATAGAAAGAAATGAAAGTATGATGCTATAATCAACAAATAGATGAAAGTGCATTGTTATCTTTTGCATTTAGCCCCTTTTCATTTGCTTCTCAAAATCGATAAAGAATAGAAATTCGTAAACAAAATTGAGATCATTAGGCATTGGAATTTCCCAAACAAAATTCTCTCTTATAGTTATCTTGGATACACTTTACCTAAATGTTATGTTTTATTTAAAGCATATTTCCTCTTCTATTTTTGGGTTAATTGCCTCATTGCTTGTTTATGCAACAACATTTTTTTTTTCAGTTTATGCAACAAAGTGGTTTTTAAACGAAACATGCAACAACATTTCATTCTAGGACCAAAACATGGTTTCATTAATTTGGGAAAAATGTTAAAAGTGAAACATTGTTGCTCAAATAACCTGTTAGAGATCTACATTAGCTTGCAAGAAGCCTTCCAAATGCTCTTTCATATTGCCAACTAAGCACTTTATGGTTTCACATTAGTAAGCCATTTTGGGCCCCACCACTAAATTAAAAACCAAATTATTTATCTAATGAAATATAAATATATTTAAACCATTTAATTATTAACTAAAAATAATTATCAGTGATTATTTTATTATTATATTTATTTATTACATTAATTTATTATTAAACAAATATATTTATATATTAAAAATATGTGATTTTATAATTTATTAATATTTATTTAACTAACTTTCTATATTATAAAACAAATTAATAGAAATATAATAGTATTACTTTAAAATACTTTAAATAAAATATAGATATAGGAATCCTGAGAAAGCTAAATAGGTAAGCAGGACCTACTATGACCTAATAAAAGGAATTGAAACAAAAACACAAGTAAAATTACATCATGGCTTTGTAAGATCTAAACTATGTAAATGTTTAATAGATAAAATTAAATTAAACATTTATTATTATTAAACTATTTTATATTTTATTAATTACCTATTAATTAATATATCAATCATCATATTCATGTTAATATTTTACTGAATATTTAACTAACATATATGTTAAAAAGTTATAAATTAGTCGATAATGTGTCAACGGGGACCACTTTCAAAAGATTCTCTGCATTGTACTATCAGTCCAGTGTAATTACAAAAGCTGACGTGACGACATGACATTGACACTGACACAATAATAACAGACATCTAAGGCTGAAGGGTGTGGGCGCGGTCCCAGACCGCAGTTTGTGCCACGTCAACCAAGAACACCGCCCCAGACCGCGGTCTGGTGCGGTCTTGGCCGCAGTGCGGTCCTTAAGTGCCGCGTTTTCTGATTGGTGGATGGGAAAATGGGAGGATTGACCGGGTGTTGGGTATTTAATTTTTTTCTTTTTTCTTTTTTTCTTTTTTTTTTTTGCTTTTTCTTTCTTATATATACATATCTAACTTCATTTTTTTTTTCACAACACAATCTCTTCTCTCTCTCAAAAAACTTTTTTTAAAAAATCAACACTCTCTCGGAGAACGACTTTATGTAGTTTGCTTTAGTTATTTTATTTGTGTTTTTAAGTTTCTAGGATTATTTAAATGTCATGTGTGTGGTTTTCGTGTTTTTTTTTTTTTTTTTTTTGGTAATGCAATGTAATGTTTTTTTTAATTTTCAAGTAATGAAAAATTATGTTTTTTTATTAAAATAGAAGTTTTATTAAATTAAAATAGTTAAAAGAAAAAAAAAAGTTTTATTAAATTAAAATAGTTAAAAAAAAAAAAAAAAATGTGTGGCACCACTCCCTTGGTGTGGCAAGAAACCACACTTGAGTGGCAAAAAATGACATGGCGCTTATGTGGCGGGGGAGGGAGTGCGGTTTCGGTGGCACCACACCCTCCAGCCTAACACTTCATTTTTTTTCCATTTTCAGGCGGTCGAATGGGGAACCGTATCTTTAGTCGACGCGGAACGCCGACTTTTATCCAACGCACTGCTCGACTTCTCAAACGAACGATTCATTCTCTTATCCGAAAGTTGCATTCCAATTTACAACTTCCAAAAAATCTACAAATACCTAACAAAATCCATCTATAGCTACCTCGATTCCTACGATGACCCGTCACGATACGGGCGGGGCCGTTACAACACCTATATGAAACCCGAGATCCGGATCCGCGACTGGCGAAAAGGGTCACAATGGTTTGAAATGCATCGGGCACTCGCGATTAAAATAATATCGGATACAAAGTATTATGATTTATTTAAAAAGTATTGTACGGATGATTGTTACCCCGATGAACATTATATGCCGACTTTTGTGCATATGTTTTATGGGGAGCTTAATTCGGATAGAACGGTGACGTATGTTGATTGGTCGGTGGGGGGCCCGCATCCCGTGATCTTTGAGGGTGGAGATATTACCAAGGGTGTTTTGGAAAGTTTGAGGAAGAGTGGGAAGAATTGTGTGTATAATAAGGGGACAACGGATGTTTGTTATTTATTTGCTAGGAAGTTTGATCCAACTGCTTTAGAGCCGTTGCTTGAGATCTCATCAGAAGTTCTTGAATATTGAAGAAGATTGGTTTTGGGGAGATTGGTTTTTTGAGAAAAAAATTGTTGTGGTTTTGTAGTGTTTTATTGGGAAGTGATTGGTTTAGTTAAAATGTACAAAGTTTTTGGTGTATTGTTTTGAATCTAACATTTATGGTAAAGGTGCTAAATCGTTGTTGTAATCGGTTTATAATTTTATATGATCATTGTTGTAGTCATTGTTGTGCAAAGGTTTCCATCAATCGATTTTTCACTTAGATCTGCAATGGTTTAAAATCAATTTCTTCTACACCTAGATTTTCCTCTAAGCTTATAAGGTTACTTTTCAGTTTAACTTGTTAAGGCGATATTCGACAATGACATCTATGAAATATGACCTACTGTTAGATTGAGATACCCGTTTCTCATTATGACAAGTCAAGATGTGAGCGTTATTAGTACAAACAGATATTATAATGATGCATTGGATGCACTTGGAAGTAACTTTTAAGAAACATAATTAAAATGAATTAACTTTTAAGAAAATCAAAAGGGAGAAAACACAAAATAATATATAAGTAATGTAATATTAATTGCATTTGATGGTTTTAATTGTTCTTGTAGATAACGTTGTATTACTTGGATATAAATTTAATGTATTAAATGTTAAAGAGATCAAAATAGAATATAGTATATAAGAAAAAGACCATATACGTAAAATTAAATGTATTCATGGTTTTTTGTAGGTAATAATTGTGGCAGTAACTTTGACTATAGTTTGAGGATTAATGGGTGTGTTTAGATAAAAGGGGTAAGAATAAATCAATCTTTCAAAATTCATATTTCAAATTTAAATAAAAAGAAGTCAATACTATGAGAGTGATGCGTTGTAATATTACGTCGTTGTTAAAATCCTAGTTTCGGGAATCGTCATCACAAGTTATTTTTAACAAAATTACAAAAATGGTTCTTATGATAGGCAGAAAATACCAATGCATTATTTATTTGCATGGTTACCAAATTTTTGAATAAAATGGTGTTCCTAATGAACATCATTTTATGTTTGCCATTGTTGTTAAACACAATGGTAAATTAGACATATATATATATATATATATATATATATATATATATATATATATATATATATATATAACATCTTATCTACACACGGACATCCTTTATCTATTCGGCCACATTGTTCGTACATAATGGATAAAAAAAATAATAATAATAACATCCACTTAGTACGACTAGTGAGGGAGAGTTTGATCTCGTATATGACAAATTGCAAAGTCAATGTCACAAGGACAAACACCTTTTAAGATCATGAGTATAGGACATGCAATCCAATTTCAATAGTTATTGATGGGAGTGGTGGATCAATGAATTTTGTCGTTTGGGACACTTATATGATCATGTCGGTCAAAATTATCATGTCAAAATGATCACAAAACGATCAAAATGATCAAAATATGGTCAGGTTGGATTTAAATGATAAGTTTTTTCATTCCCAATTAATGAAAAAAAACATAAAGATAATTTTTTTGGCATAACCATCTGAAATTGTCAAAATCCACAAACTACATAATTGTAAGTGAATTAAGCTATTCATAATTAACGCGTTAAAAGTTCGACTTGAGATCGAGTTAAATGAACTTAATCTCATTTTTTGAGGATCGTTTATTAAACACGTTTGTCCATGTTACTAACACCTCTGTATAATATTATATATAATAAATTACAAGTTTGCTCCCTGTTCTTTACCAAAAGTTGCAAGTTAGATCCAAGTTTTTGATTCCTCTAATAAGCGTCCTTTGAATTTGTAATTCATTTCAGATTTTCCCACAATCATCCATATAGAATATTTCTGGTGGAATGAGGAGGTCCGAACAAAGGTTGGGGTAAAACATGCTTGCTTTAAGGGGTTTCTAGAGGCTACTGGAAAGAAAGAAATAGGAAGGACGAAAGAAATGTACAAAGAGGCCAATCGTGAGGCAAAGAAAGTTGTGGTTATAGTTAAGGCTAAGGCATACGAAGAGTAGACACTAAAAAAGGGGGAGCAAAGAATTTACAAGCTTGATAAAGCCAGAGAAAGAAGATATAGGGATTTAGGGGGTGTTAGGTATATTAAAGATGTCAATGACCATGTTCTAGTGAATGAAGATGATATTTAAAGGAAATGTGGTAGTTAATTTAATTCCTTATATAATGATAGTACCTTACAAGATACATGATTGTATAAGGCTCTGTAGCAAGGCCTCATACTGAAGTAGAGAGTGTGTGTTGGAGGATTAGTAGTGAGGAAGTGAATAGGAATTTGATGAAAATGGGGAGGAACAAAGTTGTGTCCAAACCAAATTCCTATTACCGTATGACGATGGCTTGAGGATGAAGGACTTAGGTGGCTGATAAAATTATTTAACATTATCCTAGAGCTACCAACATGCATAAGAAGTAAAAATTAAATGTTATGATCCTAATTTATAAGAACAAAAAGGATGCCTAAAGTTATAGGAATTATAGAGGTATTAAGTTATTTAGTCATACAATGAAGCTATGGGAGAGAGTAGTGGAGGCTAGGTTGTGAAAGATCATGATTGTTAAAGAGAACTAATTCATTTTCACGCAAAGGAGGTCGACGACTTAGGCGATCCATCTCCTTAAACACCTTATGGAGAAATATAGAGAAAGAAATAAGAATCTCCATATGGTGTTTATCGACCTTGAGAAGGTGTATAACAGTGTCCCTGTGACATCCCCAAATTTCATGGCCAGAAAAGACTGATTTGTTAATATTTATTTAAAAATCAAAGTACCCTTTTGAAGAATATTATTGCGGAATTTGTTCCCAGAAAACAGGATAATGATATTATCAAAGCATTTCCGAATAAATGTATTTTATTAATATTAAAACATTGGGATGTCATCATCAATACATAAACATAAGCGTAAACAGACCTTACATTAATTTACACTAATGATCTACATCTCCTTGAGTCTCTCAGCAGAGTGTATCTTTAATATTGCTACCTGTGATACAATAAACTGAGTGGGTTAGGTTGGGAAACTTGGTGAGTACATAAGGTTTTCAACCCACAATAATATAATTAATATGTTTAACCATCAAACAATTAACCCAATTTCTCATCCCCATTATCTTCTTTATTCTTAAGGATCTACCCTAAGGATCAAATATGCTGGTAGTACTAGTTTAGGGATTCCTCCATGATACTTGTCAGTGGGTATTCTTCCATATTTATTCCTAAGGATTTGTCCTAAGGAATAGGCACGAAGTCCGTCGCTTCCAGGGTTTATCTAATAGGCACTAAGTCCATAGTTGCCAGTGTTATCTATTAGGCACTAAGTCAATAGCTGTCAATGTTTATCTAATAGACACTAAGTCCATAGCTGCCAGAGTTTATCTTCTTTATTGACAAAACTATTTTAGGGAGTCCACCCACAATACATGTCAATAGGTTTTTTTAGAGTACATCTGATGAACACATGGTTCCAAAACACCTACATGTTGCGAGCCTACTAGCGTTGCACTTGACTGTCTAGAATAGTATGTGGTTGTCATCTATACTCTGCTAGATGACATTATCTTTAAAGTCAAGCCCTCTCATCATCTATTTCATCTTTCATCTCTCATCATCTATATCATCATTCATCTCTCATTATCTATATCATCTTTCATCTACCCATCTTTACCCAATATATTTATAGGTATAAAAATACATATACAGTTTAAATCAAGTAAAACATGTATAAATCATTTATCTAGCATAGATATCAGGAACACAGATAATAGGCACATATAGCATGTATTTATATTAAATACTTCATATATATGTGTAAGATTAAAGTAACTATGTACTTACTTGTTAAAATGACGATTTGAAATTCGGACAACGCTTTGTTTCTAGCAATTGTCTTTTCCTTTGACGTAACCTAGTATCATTATCAATAAGTCTTAGTCTAATATTTATTGCGACTAATTATTAGTATAGATTCATCATTAATTCAAATTCTACTTCAAGATCTATCAAGTAAGGATCAGTCAGACAGGACAGTTAGGAAGCAGGATCATTTTGGCGTATAGCTTTTCTAAAATCCAACAACCAAGCCAACGTGACCATTCTAGACACATCTCCCGTAAGTAGATCAATCAGTATAACAACTTGGAAACACTGATAAATCTTGTTTATAGGTTCATAATAACGATAATGAACTTAAATATAAGTTATACTTAAAGTACGGTAAGCATAACTCAATTTACACGTGGTTTAGCGAGAAACCGGACTCTGTGCTTGCAGAACTTCTAAATTGAAAGCTCTATTTCTCTGGGCTTTCTGGCGCTTCGGAGCTTCGCTACTAACACGTAGGAAGTGCTAGAGAAAGGTCTTGGGACCTTGGGAGGGTTTTGGAAGAGAAGTGATGGAAATGTGTGAAGAAAAGAATGAAATTTGGCCTCTATTTATAGGCTGCAAGTGTTCCAGTATGCATGGCATACTCAACTTATGCAGGGCGTACTGGGGGCCACGTTTCGTCATCATATCACAAGCCTTGGGGAGGAAGGTGTGTGCCAGATTGCGACACGTGCCGCCCTCTTGTTAATCCGAAAATTAATTATCTTGTAAAATCCATAACTTTCGCATACGAGCTCTGTTTTTGACGTTCTTTATATATACGCGTAGCTATCGACGAGACCTACAAGTTTCATTTAGACTTTGTTGGCTAATTTTAACTTTTATTTTTAAAGTTATATTTTAACAGTCTTGGACAGTTAAAGTTCGTTTAAAGATTCATAATTTTGTCATCTGACGTCCGTTTTCGACTGTCTTTATATTTTTTAGCTCCTATTAACGATATCTTCAATTCTCATTTAGATTGTGTCGGCCAATAATCAATCGATCTAAAATTTGATTTCCGAGTTCTACACTGCTACGCTGAATCTTAGAAAAATCATAACTTCCTCAAATGAAGTCAGATTTGGATGCTCTCTATATGCACGCTCTCGGTTTAACAACTACTACGACTTTCTTTTAGATTAATAAGGCTAAAAAGTAATTTATCAAAAATTTACTTTTTACGATACGCGGAGACGTGTCGGTTTAATCGCGAAACTTTGACGAGTCATAACTTCTTCGTTATAGGTCGGATTTCAACGTTCTTTATATGTACGCAATCATTGTGACATACTCCCTCCGTCCCAAAATTATTGTCCATAGACAAAAAAAACACACAGATTAAGGAAGCATTAATTACCATTAACTTTATACAATAAAATGACAGTTTTGTCCTTACTTTGCATTTAATGTTCCATTAAATGCTTAGTTGGTTAAGTAATAATAAAATGGTATTTTGGTAAAAATGTTATTTATTTTTAGAAGTTGACTATTATTTTAGGACAAACCAAAAAGGAAAGATGAACTATATTTTTGGGACGGAGGGAGTATAATATAACTTTGGTTAAGATTATTTATTCTAAATAATCTTCTATCAAAAAGTCATTTTTAACGTTTATTATCTCTAAATTGACTAGCCCGAATCTACGGGCATTACAGTCCCACAGGAGGCGATTTATAGGACTTTGGAAACTAGAAGGGTCCCTAGGAGATATGTCATGGCTATTCACGATGTGTATTGCCGACATAGCACATGTGCCTAGACTCCTGTCAGAGAAACATACCATTTTCTGTCAGAAATAGGCCTATACCAGGGTTTAACTCTTAGCCCCTACATCTTCACATTAATGTTGGATGAGATGTCTAGTGGGATCCAAGGGGAGATGCCTTGGTGTATGTTTTTTTTCTGAGTACATTGTCTTGGTGGCCGAGTCGAAGGCTGAGTTGAATGCCCCATTGGACACCTGGAGAACGAAATTAGAGGAGAAAGGCTATGAATCAACACACTTAAAATTGAGTATCTTTGGTGAAATTTTAGTGGGGAAGCAAATAAAGGAGTAGACGTAATTTTAGGGGAGCTGACTCTTTCTTCGAAAGAAAGCTTCAAGTATCTAGGTTCTATGATCCATATAAGATGAGGTGTGGAGGTAGACGTTTCACATTACATAAAGGTTGATTGGTAGAAGTGGAGGGCAGCCTTAGGAGTAGGGGTGGCAAGGGGGTGTGTTGGGTCATAAACCAGTTGAATAGTTTAATTAAACGGGTTGAAAATCTCTACCCAACTCAATCCAACCTAACTTGTTTAAGTAAATAGACTGAGAATTATCAGCTCAATCCAACCCAACCTTTTTAGTAATGTGGTTAAAATCGAGTTGACCTATGTATTGTTTTTCCAACCTAACATATTTAATAAACATGTTGAACTTGGGTTGATCAATTTAACTTTAAAAAAAAAAAAAAAAAAAAAAAAAACCTTAAAAAATAACCGGAGTACGTATTTGAAATAATCCTTAAAAAATAACTTAAAACTTTAAAACTTCAATAGTTGTTGAAGTTTGGAAATAATACAACCATAAGTCTATAAGTCCATAACAAAAATACAAATCAAGTCTTTACAACTATAAAACATTATAAATGTTTAATTTCTGAATTTACCCAACTCAACTCATTTTCACCAACTCGACTTCCAATAATGATTACTAAACTACATTTTTTGAGAAATAAAAAAAATAATCAAAATATAATATTCAATTAAATAATAATACTAAATAAATATAAATTAAAAAATATTTAAAAAATTTAAACAGTGGCGGGTTGTAAACAGGTTGGAAATTTTAACCCTAACCCACCCAATTTAATTAAACGGGTTAGACGGGTTGACCCGTTTAATTAAACGGTTGAGAATATCAACCCAACATGTTAATTACTAGGTTGGGTTTGGGTTAGGTTGGCGAGTTAGGGTAAGATGGCTAGCCCTAGTCAAAAGTCTTGTATGAGAAGAATATTTTGTTAAACCTCAAAGGGAAACTTTACAAAGTAGTTATTAGGCTTGCTATGTTGTATCAATTTGAATGTTGGGTCGTGAAAAATGACAAAAGCAAGATGGAGGTAGCTGAAATAAGGATGTTGAGGTTGACTTGTGGTAAACTTTGTTGGCTAGGGTACCGAACAAAGTTATAAGCAACTCGTATGGGAGGCCCACGCATCAATGAATAATTGAGGGAATGACGTATGAGATGGTATTGACATGTCATAAAGAGGCCATCATTAACGACCGTAAGAAGGGTAGAGAAATAAGTTATTATCGATATTAATATAGAAATGAATGACTACTTTATCAAAAATAAATTATTATTATTATGTTAGATTTCCTAGTTTGATTGAAATGTTTCACAAAAAAAATTAATCTAATCCATCACAATTTACTTGTATGGTTTTAACCAAAGTCTTGTAGTCCACAATATCTGATGTATTGGAAATGTCTCTCTCCTAAGTGGCGTGGCAAAGGGTTCAAGTACCATAGTGGACAAAAAATATGAATTAAAAATAGGATTAGTAGGTGCTTATGTGTGTTTGTCGTTCTAAAAAGAATGTATAGTTTCCGTTTTTTTGTTTGTCTTTTTTTTTTTTTGCTTCTTATTTTATCTGCTTCCCTCATGCACATAAACTTTAAAAGAAAAGGTTTTTTGATAATGGATAGTTGACGTTTGAAACAAATTCTTATGTATTTTAAATGACGCTTTAGAAAACAAATACTAGTACGTATTTTGTATTTTACATTAAGCTAGAACAAATATTCATAAGCACATATATAAATTAAACAGTTATGGCCAAGTAATCCTATATAATGTGTACTTTATGTTGTGTAATGTGTGCTACAGCCTTCAAGTATGTACATTTATTAATATCAAACCACTATGGAGCAAATTGCAAGAAATAACAACATACTTTACTCTTTTTACCAATATAGGCAACATACTTACATTTATTTACCCATAATAGCAACATACTTACATTTTTGCCAATAAGAACAATATGTAACTCATTATAGCATTATAGCACTGTACTTACATTTTCTTTATATACAATTGCAATGTACTTACAATTCTTTATTCATAATAGCAAAACAAGTAAATTTCTTTACAGATAATTGCAATATATAATAAATAATGTACATTGCCTATACTTGTAGCAAAATGAAAGTATATTGCTGTTATAAGTACAAAAAACAAATAAAATACATTGCTATTATCAGTAAAGAAATGTAAGTATGTTGCTATTATCAGTAGATGCACTCAATACACTCTTTCAGGAGGACATTGATGACCATGGTATTGGTTTTAGAAGAAAGTGCAAGAAATTTCAGTTGAAATGCTCAATGATGAGTCAGATGCTGATGTGGCAAAGTTGGAATCAAAACCAGAACAGGCTTCCAAAAGGAGAGGGACTAAATCCGACACAGCAGTAAACTCCGGGGAGCCTTCTGATACTTCTCATGTTGAAGGTGAGAAAGAAGAAGCAGAGAAACAACATGAAGTTCATAGTTCGTCTGTTAAGAGTCCTCTAATGAAGCAGATAATCCATCAGAAACAGAAAAAGACGAAACTGCCCCTGAAAGTTAGGCTGAGAATGTTTCTTCCCCTTCGCCATCTCAAAGTGACAGCCTTCCAAATGAAAGACTTCAAGAAACCCGTCCGGTCTTTAAAAAACAAACTCTTCAAAAAGACGAAATCACCCCTGAAAAAGCCGATTCCCCATCCAAAGGCGGTTGTTGCCAAGGAGGTCAAACTTCCGGCCACCATTGATGAAGCAGGAGATGGTGGAGCCACTAGTGATTCTGATGATAAACCTCTGAGGAAGCACAATAAGAAAGTGGACACAGGTAGTTCAGGGGCAAAATCGTCAAAACAATCAAGGAAGAAGAGCAACCAGGCTTGTAAGAAAATGGATGTGGGTGAATTAGATGGAAAAGAAGGAAAAACAGGGTGAGAAAGTAGATGAGACTATAAAACAATCTGTGAAGAAAGGAGAAGATAGTGATTCAGATGCTAAACCACTGAAACAATAGGTTAAAAAGGGGGAGAAAAGTAAGGTAGAAAGTAAAAATGTTGAGGAAGATGAGGAAAGTGATTCAGATAGCAAGCCACTTAAGCTGTCTGCTAAAAAGGGTAATGCTGGTAATTTAGGTGATGTTAAATCTTCTTCAAAGAAGAAAGATGATGGAAGTGGTAAAACTGTTACAGAAAAGAATCAAACAGAAGAAGACAATGTAAATAATTCAAAAGATTCAAAGAACATTAATAAAACTAAAATATAAAATACTAGTTTATGAATTAACATCATGAAAAATAGGTATTTCATAGCATGTTTAGTGTCATCAACCAATAAGAAATTTTCATAATAATTTGTCATTATAACCTCAATGTATAAGTTAGACATAGCATAAACCAAGAAACTGTTTCACAGAATAAAACTTGAAAATGTTGATCATCATGTGAGCCATCCATTTCTTGGGAAATATAATCTTGCAGCCCTTTTTTCCTTTTAACCAAATCAAAGAACAGATATAATATAAATACCTTAAAGTGCTGCTACAGAACCAGATTGAGCTTGTTCATATCCCTGCTCCCCATTTACATTCCGCTGCTCAACTCCATTCCCATTCTGCTGCCAATTCCCATGGTTTTGTCCACCGCCATTCCCATTCCAGCTTCCATTGTTGTACTGTTGCCCATTCCCATTCCCATTCCAGCCTCCATTGTTATACTGCTGCCCATTCCCATTCCCATTCCCATTCCAACCTCCATTGTTGTACTGCTGCCCATTTCCATTCCAACTTCCATTGTATTGTTGCCCGTTTCCATTACCATATTGCTGTGTGTTTCCATTGTTGTATTGTTGTCTATTCATAATATCATTTCCATTACCATTTTGCTGCCCATATCCATACTGATTCCTCTGTCCATAGCCATTTACATTTCGAGGTACACCTGGCACATAACCTGTCCCTCTTGCAATTAAAAGTCTATCAATTTCTTCTTTACGCCCTAACTTATCAAACACCTCTAACACATACTCCTTAAGAACAGGGGCAACCCCAACACCATAGTTAACCATTTGTTGCAACAAAATCAAAGTCGTGTCATAATTAGAAGCTACACAGAGTGCCCTGATCACCATATCATAAGTAGTAGCATCCGGTTTCGGGTCTCTTTCAGCCATTTTAGTCAAAATGGGCTCACACTCCACAATCTTTCCATTCTCAATCATACTAGAGAACCATTTGTTGGCATAAGTAGGAATCACTCTCAAACCAACATCCACCATCTTCGCGTACTTATCTATAGCTTCATCAATTCTTCCTGCCTTGAAATAAGCATCAATCAAGGTTTTATAAGTGTTGACTTCAGGTGATAAAGATTTGCCACATAATTCCACATACATTCTTTCTGCATCATCTATCATGTCATTCTCACAGTACCTCATGATTATATTGTTAAAACCCGCTGCATCCATTGAAAAAGGTTTTGACTTGGGGGCATTACCAGCCTTCTTGAAAACACTATAAGCCTCTGATGCTTTCCCCATTTTGAAGCATTCATTTACCATGATATTAAAGGTATCAGAATTCACTGCTTGGACAACAGGCGGAGTGTGCCTATCTAACATGCTATCGAACAAAGCCTCAGCCTCTGGTTTCTTGTCCCATTTAAGCAGAACTTCTAAAAGCACATTACATGTAGCAGGAACCATTTTGAATTCTTTATCTAATAAAGATTTGTAAGACTCCATGGCTTCTTTTGGCTTACCTTTACTAAAGAACCACTCCATGAAAGTAGCATTAACAATACCATCATAAACCATGCACCTACTTTTCAGCTCATCAAAGAATTCATTGGCTTTTTCCAGATTATCCAAATTGAGAAAGCCAGATATGATGTTGTTGAAGACAATAGAGTCAGCCCCGTGGCCATCACTCACCATTTTCCATAGCATGTTCACCGCTTCATCAATACGCCCAGCATCAATTAAACCCTTGGTTAAATGACGAAAAGTAACTGCAGAGGGGCTAAAGGGAGCATTGTCCTTAATTTGTTGATAGACTTCCAGAGCTTTATCAACTTCTCCGTTTTCACAGTGAGAGACAATCAAGAAATTGTAGGAAACAACATTAGGAACTATGTTCGATTGCTTGAAAAAATAGGCAAAAAGAGCTATGGCATCCAAATACCGCTTGGCGCGATACATAGAGCCAATGATCGCGTTGCAGGTGAAAACTGTAGGACGTGTGCTGGAAAAAACCGATTGTCGAGCAACAACAGAGGCGTTTTCGAGGTCTCCGGCTCGAATTAACGATTGGACGCGGTTGTGGAGACTGAGTCGAGGTCCAACGAGGGCAGATGTAGTATCAGGTTGGTTAGGGTCGCGTCTAAGGCGTGGGGCATTTGGATCGCGTTGGAGGGCGTGGAGTGGGGGCTCAATACGGAGGCGACGTTTGCGACGACGTCGTTCGGCGGCGGCTTCCTCTGCTGAAGTAAAGGCAAAGGTTCTAACAGGGATTAGGAAGTTAGGGTTTGTTGTTGGAGACTGGAGATATAGGGACTGGAGGTTGAAGGCGGCGGCGGTGGTGGTGGTTCGGAGAGATGTGGGACGGCGGAGGGATCGGAGAATTAATCGAGCAACCGTCATGTTTGGACGTGGGGATTGGGATTTTGGAAGAACCCTAGTTAAACCCTGTGATGAAGAGCTAAATATCTGCGTTCGTTTTCTATAACAGAGTATCGTCTCAAAAACCTCTACTATTCTACGTGTGCAATTATGTTTGAAATTTACAAGTTTGCCATCACTCGAACTCAGATATTTTATATTTCAGTTCATGATAAAAAAAAAAATAAATCAAACTTTTTTAAAAAAGAAGTAAAAGGTAAAGAACGACTCTGCTGGGGATCGAACCCAGAATCTCTGGTTCCGTAGACCAGCGCCTTATCCATTGGGCCACAGAGTCAATTTGATATATCAAAACTAGTTAGCTTTATTACTCGAAAACGTATAAAGGAGGACCTTCAATCGAGGATAATTTAGGTTTTGTTACTTTGGATGCATGACCTTAAAATGATTTTATTTTCCGACTAATAAACTATTCGAAACACATAAAACTAAACTTTTGATTATGTTAGATTATATATGTTTTGTATCATTGTTTATAGTGTAGGGTGTTATATATAAATATTGTATACTCTTGTATTATATATATTAGATGGAATACCCTAACACGAGTTTATTTTAAATATCTATCATGATATCAAGCCTAGCATTCAAACGGCGCCAACCCTAAAAAAAAATTCTTTTCTTTCGTTGGACCTGCTGCACAACATCAACATCCCTGTCGACTACAATTTGTTGCTACCTCGCTTGGATCAGTATCGTGCCTATTTTCGGTAATTGATCGATCAATTGGTCATTCCTCTCACGCTCCATTTCGTTGCTACCTCTCTCGAATCAGTTCAAGCAATTCACTACTTATCTACGGGTTCATCATTCCAGTTTGCTGGCCTTACCGTCTTTGTAGGTATAATTCTTATCATTTGTTCGTCTCTTTATTTTACATGTTATTGTTTTTGTTTCCCCGGATCTGTGACAACATCAGCAACATCCTCTACTGCTATTCCCACAAAACAGCAACCGCTCTATGTTGTTACGAATGTGTACGACCATTTTAGTTTTAAACTAACATCGGATGGATCCAATTACAAACTTTAGAGGCGTATTTTTCTAGACCTTTGCAGAAGTGCAAAAGTTCAAGGTCATGTTAATGGGAAATCTCTCCTTACTGGATATGATGATGAAGATTGGTACTCTATTGATTCCCGAGTCAAATCTTGGTTTTACTCTACAGGTGACTCAAATCTTCTCAAAATTATATCAAGTGATGACTGTACAACAAAAGACTTATGGGATAAGTTAGATGAATTCTTCCTCAATAACAAAATGTCTCGCATTCTACATCTTCAAGACCAATTCCGCAATACAAAGAAGGGTGCTTCTTCAATTACAGATTTTTGTCATACATTGAAAAACATTGTTGATTCTCTAGCAGATGTGGATTCTGAAATCTCAGAAACGAAACTTGTGATGCAGATCTTGAGACAACTCCAGTCGTCTTATCACAACATTGTTAGTTTCATCACTCACAAGGATCCGTTCCCGTCCTTTCTTGAGGCTAAGAATATTTTGTTACTACATGAAGCTCGTGAAGAAAATGTTGGCATGCCCACTGATAACAACTCCACCACCACTAGTCTCTACTCAGTTTCTACCACAACCGGGAAACAAAAAAATAATAGGTGGAATAAAAACCGCACTGGTGGTAAAGGTTCTACTAAGGGGCGGGTAATCTTGGTACTTTTGTGAATGCTAATCCTTTTGCAGGCACAAACACGAGTTCTCAGTCTTAATTTGCAGGTTTACTTGGAAGTGCACCTCAAGACAAGCAACAACTCGCAAACAACAACATTCAAGGCTCTCCATTTCAACATTTTTTTCATGTCATCAGCTCTTGGAATCACGCCACATCTCTTTCTTGGACCACCCTCCGGCTATTACTTGCTTGGAGCCAGTAAGTAGACCCCAAACTACCATGCAGTTATTTGCTATTGTGATATGTTAGAACAACATGATAGAGATAGGCCAAGGATCTTCAGGAATTGCATGATAGAATTGCCTGATTATATGATGCCTGATAGCCTAAGGTTTTCCTTATCTGAAATTGACATCATTATTGTAGTTGCTCAGTGTATGCATCGTAGTTATACATAATTAAGATCTTATAGCCTGAGAATGTTCGGTTTAGCCTTATTTCTTGTTCTTGTTTGATGAAGGGCTTAGGGTAGGATCAGATATTCGAAAGTATATAAGGTCCAGCGTTATGTATGACTAGCATACACTGGTGATGCGGGGTTGGTGGAAGTTTCATGGGTGAGTTGTGCGGGGCCAGTCGACTAGTTACGAGATATTTAGCCGTCTTATAGGAGTGAGGATTGAGCGCTCGCCATGCATATGTATATTGTTAGGGTGTTGTGATGATACTTGAGACAAATATGGGTAGGTGTGGAAGGTGGTATGGGCCCGTACTACTGAAAGCATAGGACCCATACGCGTAGAAAGGAAGCCACAACCCCTAGGATTTAGTTGGGAGTTGGTTCCCCGTTTTTTATACGGATTATCTGATATTTTCCAAGTGTATTTTCAGTATGGTGGTTACGAGGCGATTTGAGGCCGGATCCAGGTCAGGATCAGGAGCTGGCAGCCAGGATAGGCCAGCGTTGACAGAGGATCGTGTCAGGGAGATCATCCACGAGGAGGTGGTCGAGATTGTCTGGGGTCAGATTCCGGAGATGTTTGGGTCTATCAAGACCGCCATAATAGAGTATTTTGATGATAGATACGCAGCCATTGCTGAGACTGCAGCTGCTGCAGCCTCTGTAACTGTGGCGGCTGCAGATACGGGGGACTGGGCGGGCTTTTCAGTATCGGGACTTCGATAACACGAAGCCCCCGACTTTCAATGGGACTCAAGGTCCGATCGTAGCCATGAGGTGGTTGTCTGACGTGGAGGGATGTTTCTTCGCATGTTCATGTCCTGCTGACCAGAAGGTCAGGTGTTCTCTAAACCTGTTGAGGTCCGGAGCAAAGGATTGGTGGAGGTTGATGACTTGGTCTTATACTGATGATCAGAGAGTTGCAGTTACTTGGGAGCAGTTCAGGGAGATGTTCCGCGCTCGCTACATTCCACGGGTCGAGCACGAGCGGCTGTCATAGGAGTTTTTGGATCTGAGACAGGGTACGGAGACGGTGACAGAGATCACCCGCATGTTCATTGAGAGGGCGATGTTTTGCCCGGAGTTTGCTTCTGATCAGGCTCATATGACACGTTATCTAAGCATGCTCAAGACCGATATCTGTCATTTTGTTGCTACCCAACGTTGTGATACACTGATGGAGTTACAGGAGGCCGCTAGGCGGCGTGAGCTTGAGATCGAGTTATAGTTACGGGAGCAGAGGCAGGCCCCGACACAGTCACAGTCGGTGCCAAAGCGGTCCAAGACCGTTGATTCTAGGTCTGGAGGTCAGCCCGGCCACACTTGTGGGAAGTGCGGGAAGGCTCATTCGTGGGTTTGCTGATCTGGTAGCGGGTGCCACAAGTGTGGCAAGTAGGGCCACATTGCTAGGGATTGTAGGCAGCAGACTCCAGCTTCTGGGGTCAGAATTTGTTACCATTGTGAGCAGGTGGGCCATATGAAGGCCCAGTGTCTCCTACTAGCCGCCAAGCCGACGCTGGAGCTGAGGATTACTGACGGGGGTCAGGGTAGAGCAGAGCCTCCGAATGCTCAGGGAAGCACCTTTCAGCTTACAGCCGAGGAGGCCAGGACAACACCAGATGTGGTTGTCGGTATGTTTCTATTCTTTATCTTATTGATTATATCTATTTTATGCTTATGTGTTTGTACCTATGATTAGGTACGTTTTTAGTGAACTCCTTACCTGCTTTGGTATTATTTGAATTGGGGGCGAGTCGGTCGTTTGGCTCTCGATCGTTCAGTAGGGAGTTTGGTTTGCCTGTAGGAGAGATAGAGTGTCCGTTGTGAGTCTCTATCGCTAACGAACACGTGATTTCTGATTCATCAATCTATCGGGGCTGCGTTTTGGAGATCTTCGGGGTATCCTTCCCGATAGACTTGATTCTGATTCCCATGGGGGATGTATGTGTGATTGTGGGTATGGACTGGTTGAGTCGCTTCGGTGCCATGATCGACTGCGAGGGTCAGCGGGTGGTAGTTCGAACCCCAAGTGGGGGAGAACTGGTTATCTTCGGCGATGGCACCAGGTTAGGATCAGGGTTTTGATCGGCTGCCAGGGCTCGATAGTATATTCAGCACGAGTGTGCGGGTTACTTAGCGTATGTGGTGGATACGCGGGTCAGGGATCAGGTTTCGGTTTCAGATTTCTGGTTGTTAGGGAGTTTGCTGATGTGTTTCCGGAGAAGTTACTCGGCGTGTCTCCGGAGAGGCACGTCGAGTTAAGGATCGACCTAGTGCCAGGTGCGGCCCCCATCGCCAAGGCGTCGTACCGATTGGCACCACCAGAGATGCAAGAGTTGTCATCACAGCTATAGGAACTGTTGGGCAAGCAGTTCATTCGTCCGAGCAGTTCCCCGTGGGGAGCACCGATTCTCTTCGTCAGGAAGAAGGATGGTTCACACCGGATGTGCATTAACTACCTGGAGTTGAACAAGTTGACGGTGAAGAACCGTTACCCACTCCCAAGGATAGATGATCTTTTTTATCAGTTGCAGGGAGCATCTTGGTTCTCCAAGATAGACCTGAGGTTCGGGTACTATCAGGTCAGGATTAGGAAGGAGGACGTGGAGAAGACCGCGTTCAGGACTCGTTATGGACATTACGAGTTCGTGGTGATGTCGTTTGGGCTCACCAACATGCCGGTAGTGTTTATGGACCTGATGAATAGGGTATGCGGACCGATTCTCGATCGTTCGGTCATCGTGTTCATAGATGATATCTTGGTGTACTCCAAGACGAGAGAGCAACATAAAGAGCACCTCCGTGAGCTACTGGGAGTTTTGAGGCGAGAGCGGCTGTATGCCAAGTTCTAGAAGTGCGAGTTTTGGTTACGAGAGGTTCAGTTCCTTGGACATCTCGTTAACCAGGAGGGGATTTTGGTCGACCCGACCAAGATCGAGGCAGTTATGCAGTGGGAGGTTCCGAAATC